CCTTCTAATGTCTGAGCCTCTTAAGCGAATGAGATTTCTGTAAGGTGATTTCCAAGGAGGGAAGAGTGGAAACCACAGCTAAGCTGTACAGAGCATGATGATACATGAGGTCCCAGGGCCACCACCGCTCCATTTCTGTAAGGTGATTTCCAAGGAGGGGAGAGTGGAAACAGCTAAGCCGTACAGAGCATGATGATACGTGAGGTCCCAGGGCCACCACTGCTCTGTTGGAAGATGTCCATGGATGTCCATGGAGCTGGGGGTGCTCACACCTGGGGAGGTGCCTGAATTTAGGTGCCATGGGCATGTAGCAAGAAGGACATCATGTTGCCAGCCAGGAGTGACCTGGAGGCTGGACATCAGCATTTTCACTTGGGAAGGAGACAGCTCTGCCCTCACCCACAGCTCCTCCGTCCAAGGGGTAGGTCGGGGCTGTGGTTCTGCTCCTTAATGCGGGCGTTACCAGATCATCCCAATTTGACCAGATCATAACCGCGTATCTGACAAATTACCTCCAGCACTCGAGGACTTGCGGGACTAGTGTACAGCGAGAGCGGTACGACCAGACGAAGTCTCTGGCCGGACGACGCAACGCCGGCAGGACCACATCAGACCAGGTTTATACCAGGTCAGCGCTTTGCTTTATGTGACTGCAGCTTTTCTGAGCCCTAAAGATGGATTTACAGCGTCAGCGAACCCCAGCCAAGGGGAAATTCTTCCTCGCCTTAACCTCCAATCTCTATTTTAACCTTCAGACAATGTCCCACCCTGCATCTAACAACCCTAGAGCTGAACAAGCTCTGGGCGAACGGGGACACATATGAGCTGGTGCTCAGCATCCTTCTGTCGTGTTCTTCTTTCTTTTCTTTTTCTTTCCTTTTTTTTTTCTTTTTTGCATTGAACAAGGGCTAAAATTAGCTCAGCAGGAGGTGAAGACTGGAACATTTTAGCTAAAGCTGCTGTAATATTGAAAAGCCATAGTTTTGCTGATTATTTCCCAGCTTTCTTACTGCGAACAGCGTCGCCTGTTCTGTTATTTTGACAGACGAATGCAAGTAAAGATCCCATAAAATAAAGTGCTCTGCGAGGTGTTTCAGCTCGTTCTCCAGACGATCACCGTAATGTTCCACCTGGAAAGCCATGTCTAGCTGAAGGTGCAGCCAGCTCAACATGTCTCCAGCTATGGTCAGGGGCGGTCATGTAGGACGAGGTTTAACATGGGGCGTGTGGAGGATATCCCGGGCCCAGTAGACCCTTGCTGCACCTTGCAAGTGATACAACAGCCCAGCAGCACTGCACCCAGCATGGGGACACCTCCACATCCAGTGTCTGGGCTTTGCTGGATTGTTTTTCCTCTTTGCGTTGTCATAGAACCATACAATATTCTGGGTTGGAAGGGACCTTTACAGGTTATCTAGTCCAACCCCGTGCCCTGGGCAGGGACACCTCCCACCAGCCCAGGTTGCTCCAAGCCCCGTCCAACCTGGCCTTGAACACCTCCAGGGATGGGGCAGCCACAGCTTCTCTGGGCAACCTGGGCCAGGGGCTCACCGCCCTCACAGCAAAGGATTCTTCCTAGTATCTTATCTAAATCTCCCCTCTTCCACTTTAAAACCATTCCCCCTCGTCTTATGGCTCCCCTCCCTGATCCAGAGTCCCTCCCCAGCTCTCCTGGAGCCCCTTTAGGCCCTGGAAGGGGCTCTAAGGTCTCCCAGAGCCTTCTCTTCTCCACGCTGAACCCCCCCAACTCTCTCAGCCTGCCCTCCCAGCAGAGGGGTCCAGCCCTCAGAGCATCTTCATGGCCCTTAGGTATTTTGGAAAACTGCTGTGAAGAGTGTTCATTTAGGGGTACAGTATTTCCATCCTCTGCTTTCAGCTCTCAAGAGGAACAACGGTTTGTAGGCTCTGTATCTCACAAGTGGAAATCCAGAGAAACAGCAAGGTTAAACGAGTTGGCCATATCTCATGGACTGATGAGCAGGGACAAGAACCCAGACCTCAATTCAAGGGACTACAATATGGCTTCAGGGCTTTAACTACCAGGATATGGTATGTACCTCATGGAACAAGGTGAAAACTTCTGCAAAACATCTCTTAAACGCAGAGTCCTCTGCTATGCCCACGTGGCTCGTTGCTGCTTTGGTGTCATACAACAGGGACAAAACTATCACCTCATCTCCTCTGGGCAAAGACCCATGCCTAGCTGCCAGTACAACAGCTTGGAGGTGGGAGAAGTACGAGTGAGCCCAATATTCGCTCTCTTTGATTACTCCAGAGTAAAAGACAACTTCTCGGCCATCTGAACATAACCCTAGAGTGGCCACAGACCTGGTGGCTCCTAGACTTGGAAGGAGTCTTTCTAAACCCCAGTCCTGCTCCCGCAGATAAACACTACAAAAGCTTAGAGGAGTCAACAGCCGGTTTTGCAATAAAGTCGTCTGCTTCATCCTTCATCTGTAGAGCCTTTGATGGTGTGTGGCCTGGGTGGTGTCAAGGACACGGGCAGGAGCGGTCCCCAAGCTTCTGGTGCAAGCCATCAATGCTAGTTTGGCTGCTGGACCACGAAGGTAGGATGTGATTATTGGATATTTCAAGTCTGCTGGCGCAGAATGGAAAGGAAACGAGCCAAATTGTAGTGTAGATGACATTGTCCCAACACCTGCCCTTCCAGGTGTCTCTTAGTGCATATCAAGCAAGACAGGGTGGGTGCATCCATCATGCCCTCAGCCATCGATGCTGACTCCCAGCTGAAGGATGAGAGGCGAAAGCCTGGAAATTGAAACTCCCATGCAAACCTTGCACACGATCAAGAGCCATTTTGAAGCTGGTTCATGGGCTCAGTGACGTGAATCCAATCAAAGGCACAGTCCATTCAGAGCAAGCCAAATACTGTAGCTCCATAAATCCCTCTGGGTTGGTCACACCTCCATTGAGCAGAAAGGCACAGAGTTGCATGAACCTGGTCCAGATGCTCACAAAGCTTGTTCTACCGATACGGCCATCAACCACGTGAAGGACAGCAGAGGCTGGAAGTCACATTCCTGCAGTCCAGGCGCTTTGGCAGGGAGCCCATCTGAACCTTCTACCTCTCCAGATCTTTTAGTCTCCAGGACTCTGGTGGTTTCCACTCAATGTCCCTCTCCACAAAAGGCAGGAACCAGCTGTAGGGACCTTCTCGCTGGCAGAGGACATGTGCAAGCAGGATGCGACACAGTGGAGCAGCGAACGCCTGAAGGCAACAGTGAGTGCAGCAAAAGGAAAAAAACCACCTTTATTTCCAGAGGCATGGGAGATGAAGAGGGCAGGAAATAGTTGAGGAAAACCCACCGAGGACTGGCTTTCCCCTCTTCTCAAAGTTTCCTCCTCGCCTGGTGGCACGGGCCACCCGTGTCCCAGCACAGAGCAGCAGCTTAGCCTCCCCTGGTATTTCAGGGACCGGGACAGTGTGGAATGGGAGCTGGGTCCCCAGCATGGGGGGAGGTCTTTCAAGTTGAAACGATGAGAAACAACAACAAAAAATAACCCCAGCAGATTTTGGGTACCTCTGGGGGCTACCTGCTCGGATCCGGCCAGTCCCTCCAGACCTGGGCTGATTGGGTGCATCAGAGTTGGGGAACCCAGAGCCACGTGCACCCAAATCAGCCCAACGGAGCCCAAAGCTGAGGAGAGACCCCCAACTGGGCGCTACCCACACCGGAGGGGTCCCACACGGGGCTGGGGTGGGCGTCCCCACCGCCGACCCCGTGCCATACCCGCTTAGAGCAGCATCTCTCCTGCCTGCCTCATCCCCGCCACTAAAAAAGCCACTCGGCACAGCCTGGGATCAAGTGTAGGTTTTTATTTTTTAATGGAACATAAACTCCTTTAGAAAAAACATTCATCTGGATGATAACACCCATAGAAAAAAACACCAATCTCGTGTTCTTTTTTTTTTTTTTTAATTTGGCATTTGTTATTTGCATTTATATTAAAGCAAAGTGCATCTTATTTTTTTTCTCGTTTATACACATTGCACAATACATAAATAATGATGCTTATAAAACGTCTTTATATTTACAAGTAATAATATATTTATATATAACATAAAATACATTTTTTTTCTTTAATAAATCTCAGGGGTTTTTTAAGGAGTCCTTTTTTTTTGTGTGTGTGTGTGTGTGTGTTTTATTTCCAAAGCACTACAATGCTAAAGTTCCAATGAGAATGCTCTCTTGTTCATTTAAACCTTTTATATTTAGAAAAATAGCTTATGTTAAGGTCTAAACATGCTCATTGAGCTAAGAACAGTGTAAAAGTATCATACTCGTGTATGAATTCAAGAAGAAATGAAAGCACAACTGCATTTCCAGATAGGATGGTACCGGGATAACCTGATCGAAGCAGGTTACGACAGACCAACTATCGTGAACACTTTTTCTTTTCTCATTTGTTTCCTTGGTTTTTGTTTTGTTTTGTTTTTAGGCTTTGCCTTCTGTCACTTCGCATCTCAGCTCAAATTATAAAGCGCGGGCCACGCACGAGGTTTCTCCGCTGTTGTTTTCTCCCCTTGCATCAATCCATGATCGTTAAAAAAAAAAAAGCAGGAAAAAAAAAAAAGCAGAAAAAAAAAAAAAGCAGTGGAAGGATGAACACAGTGACGAGACGTGAACCCAGCAATGAGAAAAATAAAAATGAAAAAGGCGGGTAAAGACCCGGTTTTGGGAAGGCTCTGCACCATCCTTCGGCAGCAACGCGGGGTCAACACCGCTGGGGAAGGGGGTCTCGGTGTCACCGTCACCGGGGACGGCTGGCAGCAAGGGGAAGGTGGTGCGTAAAAAATACAGGTTATCTTGTTGTTTTATCCAAGAGAAGGAGCTGTAACATATAGCAAGTGGTTTCCGAATCCACCGATCCCATAGGATAATCCTTTCAGAGGTGTGAAATAATTATCGTATACGATCCATCCCCCCGGCACCCTTCTCTCGCCCTTCTGAGTTATTGGTCATTCACACTTTTTTTAAAAAAAGGATGTATTTATCAAAATACCCAAGGCAAAAAAAAAAAAAATCTTTCCATAAGCTATTTCTCAAAATGGGATGTAAGGGAGGGGGGGGGAACAAACAAACAAAACAAAACAAAAACAAAAAGTTTGCATGAAAAGCAAGCACTCAGAAGGAAATAATAGCAGCAAAGTAGTATAAATGTCATGAGTCCACTCTGTCTCGAGTCATCGGTTATTAAAAATAACCTCCAACCAGCACGGGCAACTGCTGATAAACTGTCTCGTGTAGCACTGGCCCCAGCCCTTCACAAAGCTGATCTGAACAGTAAATCCGGTCCATGGTTGCTGCATGAACTCATGGTCGTTGGGTCTCTGCAAGCTGTACGCCTTCTCGTAGTCGAAAGCCTTGATGGAAAAACCTGGAAACACTTTGTGAACCAGCAACGTCCTGGAGTCGGGGTTGTCCAGTGTGGCCGACTTGATGAAGATGGGGTAACTGCTGCGGTTGTACACCCACACGCCGTCCACTTCCTTGGTGAGCTGGATGCCGTAGCCGATTTTGCTACGCACCTTCTGCACCAGTTGGCTTTTGTTGTCCGAGTTGAGCTGTCCGAGGCAGAAACCATTCCCCTGAGGTAGATCATAGAAGATATCCAGGGAGGGCTCTTGGACAGAGTACAGCCGACCCACGCGCGTTTTCTCTTCCCAGTATGCCACCACACACCAGTGTGACTGATCCCCTGGCTCCTGAAGAACTTGGGAATCTACAAAAAAAAAAAAAAAAAGGAAAAGGAGAAATTGAGCACTGTAGGGGTAACATGACCCAAAAGCAAGGTGACACCAGCAGATCCTTGCCTGCCCATGCATTCACAATGCTCTCCATGCACACACCAACACCCATAGCACATCTGCCGTTTCCAAAAGCCATGTGTTAAGGCCACCATTAAGACCATTTAAGTTGACCCAGGTTTGGGGGATTCCCATTCTGCTTCAGCTCCTATCTCTGGTTGGACTTACGCGTTCTACATCACCAGATCCACCTTCGGAAGTGGCTTCAGACCCACCAGCAGCACCTGCGGCACAGACATCCCTCATCCAAACCATCACTAGGACCACCTTCAGTGCCACCAGGAGAGATGAGATGCTCCAGCCGGCTGCACCCAGCAAGACCAAACCCCCTAAACCCCCTTATTTGTACCCACCAGATGATGGATCCACCTCCATGGACCTACTGTGCACAGACACCAAAACAAAATGAGGTGCTGCTAAGAAACGCACATTGAAGGCCACCCCATGTGACCCAAGGGGACAAGAACCCGCCTTCTCTAGTTCACGGGGCTTTTCCCTGCCCACAGGCAGAGCCTCGAGGATGGAGACGTCAGATGAAGCCCCAACCCACAGGAAGCACTATCAGACGGCGGCGGGGTGGGGACCAGAAATGTTGTGCTTGTTAACAAAAATGGACTTAAAAAACAACCCCAAACCCCCACAAATTAAGTCGCGCAGCCCTTCTTTTGACTCCCTTGCCCGTAGCTGCCCCCTGCGAGCAGCGAGGATGCGACATGGGAGGAAAAAGCAAGGGGAGGGGGGGCTGAAAAACATGAAAAAGCCCCTTTTCCTGACGGAGGATGCCTAGCAGCTTAGCGGGTAATTCCTTCCAGCCTCGGCAGGCGTGTTAAGACCTGGGAACTATTCATCTCTGTATTTTTTTAAAAAAAAAATCTATTAAAAAAAACCCCAAAACAATCAAGCTGTGAATGCAAGTTAGTGAGCGCTGCTGAAATACCCCACTGCTCTGCGGGAGAAGCTACGGGACCGGGGGTGGTGGGTGACCCAGCACCCCAAAGCTCTCCCTGCATCACCTTAGCAGCCCCCCAAAACTCCCCCGGGTGTGAGCAATGGCAGCGGCACGCTAGCTGCCCTGTTCTTCTCCCCAGTTTTTGTTATTAATAAGCCAGTTTGCCCAGCACAGGCTTTTTTCCTCCCGTCTCCGAGTTGTGCTTCTTAAAAAAAAAAAAAAATAAAAAAAAAAAGCCCCAGCCACACACTTTTAATTTCCTCATTTCTATGCCAGCGAGGAAAATATTTCTCCAGTTGCTGGAGGCAGCTACTAAAAATGGGCCTGACTGAGCTGTGTATGCCCCGAAACAGGGACCCTCGCCCCCGGGTGAAACCCCAAATGGGGTTCCCCCCACCCAAGGGTGCACCCAACGGGGCCAGAAACACCCCCGGGATGGCATTTCCCCCACGCACTGGGGGA